ATCGTCCCTCTACTTCTCAAAAGTCAAAAAAAGAGTTCCGGTAACACCTCTCTACCCATCTTCCCACCTCCTCATGTTCCCTCCCTGTCTCTGTCCCTAGTTCTTCCCCTCTCTCTGGCTCAAGTTACAGGTGCAGAGGTTCACCCTCTCCTCGTATTGTACCTTCCTCCATGTTCCCCTCCCAAGTTCTTCCTCTTCTGCCACCTCCAGGTTCCTGTCTCTTCTGTCCCCTGCCACGCTTCTCCAAGTTCCCTCCTCCCTTTCGCCCCCCTACCTGGTACCAGTCCAAATTACAGTTCTATCTTTACTATACCTCCCCTACCATTCCCAATATTGTCTCCCATACGACATCTCTGAATTGAAAACACTTTTTGAAGAATCTCGAATATATTGCAGAGACCCAAACCTAATGGACACTGATCCACCTCTCGCTCTTTCGCTCTCCTCTGCTCCATCTGCGCAATCCTCTTCTTCACAGCGCACCGTTCCTTCGCTGCTTGAACATTTTCCATGCCTCCGCATGTGGACTTTCTAACCCCCTTGTCCGTAGGAACCCTTACCTGCGGATTTCAAGTATCTTTATCATTGGCATTCCTGGCCTTTTTACAGTGGAAATATACGTGGCTCAGGGGTAATCGGGGGTGAGATTCAGATGTTACTTCCAGTTTGCCACTGTTGGTGTTTGCTTACCAGGAACCACAATTTAACTCGGCTGTTATTTCTCACATTCAGGCTATAATTTATTGTTATTCTTCAGATCCTTTTTCCCTGATGGGACCTTTAATGAAAGTGCACTTCTTCTCCGCACTGATATTCCGTACCATCAGCTATTTGTTCATACTTCGCTGCATTACACAGCAGCCCGTATCCACTTACATAGGTGGTATACGCTCTGTTCTTTATATCTCTCTCCTTCTTGCGGCGTTATCTATTCCGGTTTTTGCCTTCCTTGTTTCGTCTTAACGCCACCAATTCTGTTACTTGGTGATTTTAATGCCCACCTTTTCCTCTGGGGAGGTCTCACTGTGTTTCCGTGGATTCAGTTAGAGGCTTTTCTTGCCACCCACCCCCTCCATGTTTTAAATAAAGGTACTCACACCCATTTTGATCCTCGGACTCATACTCTCTCTTGCATTCGATCTCTCAGTTTGCTCTTCCTCCGCCGCATTAGACTTTACCTTGGTCTGTTCTCCGGACTTCATGACAGTGGATCATTTCCCAATCATTCTTACTTCCCCTTATATTCGCCACCTCTTCGCACCCAACGCTGGCAATTTAATCGGGCAAATTGGAAACCTTTCACTCACACCTGACTGTTTTTAAAGAGGTTTCCTTCCTTCGTCCTCCATCGATGAGCTTTTTACACCTCTTTCTTCCTCCATTTTCACCGCAGCTTCTCATTCTATACCCCAAACTTCGAGCAGGCATTCTCAGAAATGCGTTGCCTTGGGGTATCCTGCTTGTGCTCGTGCAGTACGTTTGAAACGCGCTGCTTGGGGGCAGGGTACGGTGCAATAGAACCACAGAGCGACTCTTGATTTTAAACAGAGCGTGCGATCGCTCTCCGTGTCATCCGGGACGACTAAACGCACTTGTGGCGAGATTTTATGTTTCTCCACCATCACCTCTGCCTTCCTCTATGAGTGCAGGTCTGGAAAAAAGTACGAAAACTGATGGTAAATATTCTCCTGGACCCGGCTCCTGTTCTGCGGTTGCCAGGTGTTGATATAGCAAACCCACTACATGTTGCCATTGAAAATTGGCAATATCTTGGTCGTATTTCTCAGGGACTCATCTAAGCCCCTCTTTTCTTTCCTCAAATTCTGCCAGAGAGTTAGCACCCTTGGACTTTTCTTCTCTCAGTGAAAATAACAGTATAATGTGCTTTTACACTTCAAGAACTGGAGGCAACACTATCAGCTTGTCTGTTTTCGCAGCTGGGCCCGACGACATTCTTATTCGTTATGCTAACAAACATTTAATCAGTCGGCCACTTGCAGTCCTATTACGCCTTTACAATCTTATTTGGTCACAAGGAGTTCTTCCACAGCTGTGGAAATCCGCATTGTTCTCCCTGTCCGCAAACCAGCATACGGGACATGAAACCTCCACTATGTCCCATTGCTTTACCAGTGCAGTTTGCAAAGTAATGCGATCGTCTAGTAAATAGACGTTTTTAGTGTGGTATTTAGAGACATCACAATCAGTTCTTCCACTCCGTCAATATGGCTTTCGTAAGGAGTTCTACCATAGACCACCTTATGCGCTTGGATACGTTTATGTTCGTAATGCCTTTGCGGAATAAAACCACTCAGTTATGCCATTATTTTTTGATCTTTGAGAAGGAATATGACACACTTGGGGTATTAATATTTTAGCCCAAGCCCACTATTACTTAGGCCCCTTCGAGGCAATTACCATTCCTTCCTTAAGAACTTTTTAACTGACAGGCATTTCCATTGTTCGGGTTAATAATTGTGCTCTCCCCGGACTTTATCCATAGCTGAGGTTGTCCCCCAGGGGATGTGTTCTGAGCACAACACTTTTTCTCCTTGCTATTAATGATTTGGCCTCTAGTTCTTCCATCAAAATATTTGGTCATTCACCTATGTTGATGGACTTCGCTATTGCTCTGTGCAGGGCTGACTGTCACCTCCTTTACAGTTTTCTCCCCCCCCCCCCCCCCCCCCTCCTGCATTTCAGTTCGACCGTGTTTACAATGGCAACCACACACGGGTTAAATTTTCCAGCACTTAAAACCCACCACCAAATCACTTTCTCTAGACGCTCTGTCATCTCTGATCATCCTTTGTACCTTATGGCTCACGTATCCCTGAACGTGATACAGTCAAGTTTCTGGGCAGCCTCTTGTCGTAGGTTATCCTGGAACCTCAACAGTACCTTCTGAAGGCAAACATTGTCACAGACGGCTGATCCTTCTTAAAACCCTTGCTCATCTTTCGTGGGAGAGCTGTCGTTTCGAACCCTCCCTTTCACCTACATTTCACCCTTATTTTTATCGAAATACTGTTATGGTGGACCAGATCTATTCAGGGATCTCTGCACTTCCTCTAGCCTTAACCCATTTCACCCAAGGATTACGTTTATGCTTGGTGCTTTTCGCTCTTCCCCTGTCGAAAGCCTCTATGTCAGAAAGAAGGCGAAACGGTCATTATTATCGATCGCCGCTGATATGCCCCATTTGCCTGCGCTCTATGTACGCTCTCATGATCTCGCAAATCCTTCCATTTATAGATATGGTCACTGATATTAGTAGACATTCTTTATTTGTTCGCGCCCTGCTTAACTCGTCCCTTTCTCTCTTCGCTTCATTCGTCTTGTATTCTCTTCAACTACCACCTTTCTATGTTAATGTAGCATCACACTTTTCCCTACCACCTGGGAAGTTCCAGATGTTTCGAGTCTGTTTTTTTTTTTCTCCCTCCCATTGCTCGAAAGCCCAAACTGTCTACGGTCGCTTCCCGCTCTCTTTTTCTTGACCACTTTCACTCTCATTTCTTGCCTTTGCTGTGTACACAGATGGCTCTAAGTCTTCTGACTGGCGTAGGATTCGCTGCAGTGTTTCCGGACAGCGTCGTACAAGGGCATTTTACTTATCTTCAGCTAGTTATTTTTACTGCTGAATTATAAGGCCATCCTTACAGCACTTATCCGTATGCATCTATTGCTGTGTTATTCCATTTTTTTTTTTTTGTGGTTGCTCAGACTCCCTTAGTGGATTTAAAGGCTATACAAATAATTTGAACACCTCAACCCTTAGTCCTCCGTATCCAACTTTGCTACGCGCATCTTTACTAAGCCTAAAGATATTGTTTTTTGTTGGGTCCCTGGTCATGTTGACGTAAAGGGCAATGAACAGGCAGACATGCTGTGCGGTAAGCAGTACATGACCCTACCTGTTTCTTATAGAGGTTATTCCATGTACGGACTATTTTGCTGTAATATTCTTCCCACCTTCACACCCAGGTTGGCAACAACGTTGGTCTACTATGATCGGCAACAAACTTCAGTCTATTAAACGAGTAGTATAGGTTACTGTCACCGTCTTCTTATCACCAGTGTCGAGGTTGGGAGGGATACTCTCTCGTCTTCGCATTGGCCATACTCGTCTTACTCATGGATATCTCATGGAGAGGCGTCTTGCTCCTCTCTGTGAGAATTGCCAAAGCTCACATATCGTACAGCCACATTCTGTTGGACTGCCCAAAACTTTATCAACGAGCACGCCAGAATTACCTCTGTCGTCCGTCTTCGCCCCGCTGCTCTCCTCTTTCCTTCCATTCTCGCTGATGGGACCACCGTTCATCGGACTCATCCATTGACTTTTTGACAACGACTGACTTACTCCCACAAATTTGATATTTCAGACCTTTCCTACTTGTAATCTCTTGATACCCTCTACCCCGTACTATCCCCCCCCGTCTGTTTTCTGTAACCTGCGATCATCCCCCCTCCCTTTGCCTCAATTCCCTTGCTTCCTTCCCTACCCTGCAGCGCTGTATAGCCCTTGTGGCTTAGCGCTTCTTTTTGATTATAATAATAATAATGCGTATTGCCCAGTACTGTCAGCCATCCTAGTACCCCATGATATAAATTACCAGTTTTAGGAGCTTCCTTAAGTACATTTGGGAAGCATTGGAGGAAGTCTGTTATAACTTGCAAAACCTGTATAACTACACATGATTGGTAAAATAATCATCTGTTAATGGACAGAACCCCATAGAAACCTGTTAAAAAGAGTAATATCTAAATTTCAAATATTTAGAGCAAGATAATTTATTGAAACATTTTAGCTAAAAACTGAAGTTTATCAGAATACATAAAACTACACTAAATCGTCGAAATATTGAATAAAAAAAAACCTTTCAGCACTTGTTTTTCAAAAATGAAAATCCCGTAAAAATCAATTATTTCTTTCTGCCAGTATTTGTGATATCTTCCGTCTACTCAAAAAAATTTTAATTAATGTTGACAGTGCCGGCCCACAGGGATGGACTGCTGCTCCAGCCTGTCCAGTTGACATTTACCAACTTCATGGATGAAATAGATGTGGAAGGTTTGTGTAATTGCTAGTTTTTTAACCCTTAAACTCTCCAAGCAGATCTACATTCACTTGTGTAGTAGTCCAAAAGTAGATCTACACTTTTTTTTACATATTTTCAGATATGACAAAAAAAATATATCAGTTTTTTACATGTTTTCAATGTAAAAAAAAATTTTTTACGTACTTTCAAATGTTGAAAAAACGTAGATCTACGTTTGGACCGTTTAAGGGTTAATGATGTTTTATTGATGCTTGTGAGGTTTTTTGATAGTTTTGGAATGCTGTAGTGTGTGTGTGTGTGTGTGTGTGTGTGTGTGTGTGTGTGTGTGTGTGTGTGTGTGTATTCACCTAACTGTGGTTGCAGAGGTCGATTCATAGCTCTTGTCCCCTCTTCACTGGTTGCTGCAATGTCCATTCTGCTCCATGACCTTGATCATACCTCTTAAAGCTGTGTATGGATCCTGCCTCCACTACCTCACTTCCTAACAACTCTGAAGAAATACTTCATAACATCCCTTTGACTCAGATGAGTCTTCAATTTCTATCTCAACTTCCCATCTCTGGAACATTCTACCTCTGTCCAACTTCGTCAATAACTCTCAGAATTTTGTATATCGTTATTATGTCTCCTGTCCTCCAGTTTCGTCAGGCAGATTTCCCTTAACCTTTCCTCGTAGGACGTACCCCTTGGCTCCGGGACTAGTCTTGTTGCAAACCTTTGCACTTTCTCTAGTTTCTTGACGTGCTGGACCGGGTAGGTGTGTGTGTGTGTACTCGCCTAAATGTACTCGCCTAATTGTGGTTGCAGGGGTCGAGACTCGGCTCCTGGCCCCGCCTCTTCACTGACCGCTACTAGGTCCTCTCCCTCTCTGCTTCCTGAGCTTTGTCATACCTCTTCTTAAAACTATGTATGGTTCCTGCCTCCACTACTTCACTTGCTAGGTTATTCCACTTCCTGACGACTGTGACTGAAGAAATACTTCCTAACCTCCCTGTGACTCGTCTGAGTCTTCAGCTTCCAGTTGTGACCCCTTGTTTCTGTGTCCCCTCTCTGGAACATCTTATCTCTGTCCACCTTGTCTATTCCCCGCAGTATCTTGTATGTCGTTATCATGTCTCCCCTGACCCTTCTGTCCTCCAGTGTCGTCAGTCCGATTTCCCTTATCCTTTCCTCGTACGACATTCCCCTGAGCTCTGGGACTAGCCTTGTTGCAAACCTTTGTACTTTCTCTAACTTCTTGACGTGCTTGACCAGGTGTGGGTTCCAGACTGGTGCTGCATACTCCAGTATGGGCCTTACAGTGTACAGTATCTTGAACGATTCCTTATTAAGGTATCGGAACGCTATTCTCAGGTTTGCCAGGCTCCCGTATACTTGTGTGTGTGAACATGTCTGTATTTGTGTGCAATCGCCTAGTTGTGGCTGCAGGGGTCAAGTCACAGCTCCTGGCCCCGCCTCTTCACTGGCCGCTACTGTCACTTTCCGCTCCATGAGGTTCATCATACCTCCCCATACCTCTGTGTATGTATGTCTGCACGTACGTATGTACGTATGTGCGTGCGTCTGAGTCCCAGTATGCCTATGTTTTCATTAATTAGTTACATCCTTCAGGCTTCACAACTCTCCACTACGTTTTCCTGCAGAGTTTTCGTCAAATAATGACGTCGCTAGAGACTCGCCTGACGCTGAGGAACTATCACCTAACGTCTCGACCTCGCCTTACGCTGAGGAACTATCACCTGATGTCTCTACCTCACCTGACGCTGAGGAACTATCACATGACGTCTCGACCTCGCCTTACGCTGAGGAACTATCACCTAACGTCTCGACCTCGCCTGACGCTGAGGAACTATCACCTGATGTCTCTACCTCACCTGACGCTGAGGAACTATCACCTGATGTCTCGACCTCACCTGACGCTGAGGAACAATCACCTGACGTCTCGACTTCACCTGACGCTGAGGAACTATCACCTGACGTCTCTACCTCACCTGACGCTGAGGAACAATCGCCTGACGTCTCGACTTCACCTGACGCTGAGGAACTATCACCTGACGTCTCGACCTCACCTACCCGAGAACACCCCTTTCCTAACGTGCTTACCCATCCGTCTGTTCTCGTACAACCTCCCGTTGTCGTCTCAACCTTTCCAGGTAATTTGGAACCACTTTCAGAAAGGAATTCGACCAGCTACCCTTACCATAAGGAACATTCATCTCCGCCCAACAGCTACCAGAAACCAGGAACTTCTGTTCCTAACGCCATTACTGTGACGAGCACTTCCCCACACAGCAAAATACCTGTTCCTTTCCTGACGGTACTGTCTGAAGAGACAGTGGCTGTCTCGCCCACTGTCTCTACACTAACACCTGCGGTACATAATTTATCCACACCAAAGGACGATAATCATATTGAAATGATGGTTTCGCGTCCAGATTACCTTGAATCTGGAGGATTTAACTTAATTAAGGTTAAATAATTGTAGTAGTTTTTATTTAGTTTGCATATTTGTTACTTGCAGTAGTGTATAGTAATTTTTTATTTAATTATATTTATAAGAAATTTTATTAAAAATACAAAAGTGCGAAATGACTAACTTAAAATATAATTGTTACTCTTGTTATGGTAAAGGTGCTATTTACACCAGTCTGCAGTCATGAAGCTGAATCGTTGTGTAGTTTAAAAATAGGTTGGATCGATACCATGCCCAGCCCTTCTAGGGCAAGGTAGGTGCCAGAGCTGTAGCTTGTAAGACTTCCATTCCCATTAGCCCCCTTGGGGCGGGGACGGCAGACCAGAGAGGCCTAGTTTGTCCCTACGAGCCCCATCAGGGTGGGGACTGTGGCTAGGCTTGGCGACAGTTGGTCCCAAAGATGAGGGGGTACTTGTGCCTCCTCCCATGGGAGACTTAGGTCTCAGACACTCCCAAGACAGGGAGCCAAGGCCGGGCCACCACTTGGAAAAGGCCCGGGCCGGGAGAATACCGGCGAATCAACAAGAAAAATACGTTAAATATACGAGTGGGTGAGAGTTGGAAATGACTAGCTTGCGCTACCAGGTCTGAGCCGTGACCTGACTGGGTGGGTCATTGGTCTAAGCCGGTAGGAGAATTGGATCAACCTGGCATGGGCCTGTAGGTCTGCTGCAGTGTTCCTTCTTTCATATGCTCTCTGCTTAGTCTATTTAACTTCAACGCCTCACCTCAGATTTGCAATATTCTCTCGTTACTCCACCAGTACGTGCACCAAAATAATCTACTCTCGTATCTTAAGTGCAATAATTCTCGTAAGTGGGGGAAGGAGTGACGATGCTGAACGATTATTTATCCTTGGATATAGTTATCTACTTAGACCTCTTCAAGGGGGGCTCCTTGGCGTGGTGAAGAGGCTCTTGGTCTGAGGAATTAGACCTGTCGGTCTTCTTCCTCAGACCAAACCTAATTACCCCCAATCTCCCCTCCCCTATCCCATCCTCCCCATCCTCCCCTTTCTCCTTTCCTCCTCCTCCTCCCCACCCCTCCCTTTTGCCCTTCCTCTTTTCGGCCTTTGGGATTTCTCCCATAGGCACGCTAGTTCCTAGGTAGGGGAAAGGATACCGGGGTCCATCCCATTCCGTTGAGGTTCTTGGCAGTGGCGTAGTTTGCCGTGGAATCTGGATCGCCTGGGGATGTCCCGATCCCTCTCCGGTATCCCGGAGTAGCTTTGGGTGTTTTTCGGGCGACGGGTGTATCTCTGGAAGCCACCTTTTGGATTCCGGGGGTGGTGGCCGAAGGAGGTATGCTTTGTGGTGGATATCCGGCCGCCCTCTCTTTTGTCCACCGAGGTAGCTCGGCAGATGCGAGGTTGCTATCCCGGATTGTTAGTTTACTAGCATGATGGGTAGGGTATGGCACGGGTTCCATGCTGCATCTGCGCTACTTGCGGTGCTGAGGTCCTCTTGGGCGCGGAGGGAGATTTCTGGCCCTTTTATTCCTCCTAGGAACTATCCCTCCCCGGTCCCCCCTTTTTTATTCTTTTTTTTTATTTTTATTTTTTATTCTTTCTTTTTTCATCTTAAAAACAAAAAGAAAGAATTAACCTAACCATCGCAGCCCTTGTCCATGAACCTAGTACCCCGGGCCCCTTCTTGATACCGCACCCCGTTCTGACCCGCCTCATCTTTGGACCACCTTCAGACATTCCTCATGCCTCTGTACCTACTGCCGGTGCTGTTTCCTCACCCGCTTCAGGTACTGAGGCCTCGACTGACTCCTTCGATTTATCGGACCTTCGCTCTCCTTTGACTATACTTCCGGCCTCTCCCTCTATGGTGCGGCAATTTTCAAATCGCCGACCCATTCCACGTCGGACCAACTCTGGTCCCACGCCTAAACGCCAACGACAATTACCTGCTGATGATACTTCTCCACCTTCTCGTTCTTCTCAGAAACGACGACACGTCCTTCACTATCTTTCCACGCTCAGTTTCAGACTGAACAGTGGACTAAATTCTTCACTTTACGACCAACTTCTTACTGCCTGTCTTTCTGACCATAGTATTGGCAAGGCACTCCTTTGCCATGTTGGTAAAGATATTTCTTTTCATGCTCTTAGAGCGGTAAAATGCATCATTACCGTTTCAGAATGCTTTCCCAGGCTCATGAGCTCTCTCGTCTTTCCCATATCGATACTGTTCCTGTCACTCTTGAAAAACATCATTCCCTCAATTCTTGTAGTGGTACCGTCATTCTGCCCCATACCATAGTTCAACAAAATTTCCAGACATGTGGCACTGACAATCTAGAACAGCTGGAACTCCAAGATCTCCCAATCCACAAGGTAGACACTTACGTTCTTCCTGCCCGTGGGCGGAGACAATATCCTAGCAATGTGGCTCGTTTAACTTTTGACAGCCAGGAACTCCCATCCTCAGTTTATATAGCAGGACATCGGTTACAATTTGGAAAGGTGATCCCTACACCACAACAGTGTAGAAATTGCTGGCGATTTGGCCATCCAGCGAAATATTGCAGATCTATCGCCGAATGCCCAGTCTGTGGTGCCGATGACCATTCTAATACGTCTTGCAATCGATCTCCCTCTTGCCTTAACTGTCATGAGGCTCACCCTTCGTACTCTCGCCGTTGTCAGGTCTATTTAAACGAGCGGGAAATCCGTTACCTCAAAGAGACAGAAGGTCTCCCTTATGCCATGGCAGTTTCTCATCTCCGCCTCCAAGGGAGACTCCCACGTGTTCTTATTCCCGTTTTCAAAACGTCCCCCCACTTCTGGTATCCCATCTTCTACACCCACCTCTGTGGTTACCTCTCCCATAATCACTCCTGTATCTAATCCTTTTGCTGTCCTCGGCTCAGACGTCCCTACTTCAACGCCTCAGTCTAATCTCGCTTCTTCGAGTTCTCTCTCACAAGCCTCAGTATCGACGAGACCTCGTACGACACCTCCTCCCAATCGTCCCTCTACTTCTCAAAAGTCAAAAAAAGGTCCGGTAACACCTACCCATCTTCCACCTCCTCATTTTACCCTCCCTGTCTCTGTCCCTAGTTCTTCCCCTCTCACTGGCTCAGTTACAAGTGCAGAGGTTCACCCTCCTCCTCGTAATGTACCTTCCTCCCCTGTTCCCTCCCAAGTTTCTTCCTCTTCTGCCACCTACCAGGTTCCTGCCTCTTCTGTCCCCTCCTCTTCAAGGGGGGCTCCTTGGCGTGGTGAAGAGGCTCTTGGTCTGAGGAATTAGCCCTGTCGGTCTTCTTCCTCAGACCGAACCTAATTACCCCCCATTCTCCCCTCCCCTATCCCATCCTCCCATTCCTCCCCTTTTTCCATTCTCCTCTCCTCCTAACCCCTCCCTTTTGCCCCTTCCTCTTTTTTCGGCCTTCGGGATTTCTCCCACACGGCGCGCTAGATTCCTTAGGTAGGGGAAAGGAACACCGGGGTCCATCCCATTTCCGTTTGAGGTTCTTGGCGAGGTGGCGTTAGTTTGCCGTGGATTATGATTGCCTCCTTGGGATTGTCCGATCCCTCTCCGGTATCACGGAGTAGCTTGGGGTTGGTCTTTTGGGCGACGGGTGATCTCTGGAAGCCCACCTTCGGATTCGGGGGGTGTGGCCGAAGAGATAGGTATGCTTTGTGGCGGATATCCGGCCGCCCCTTCTCTTTGTCCACCGAGGTTTAGATCAGCAGATGTGAGGTTGCGGTTGCTATCCCAGGATTGCTGGTTTTTACTGGCATGAAGGTAGGGTTTATGGCTCGGGTTCCATGCTGCATCTGCGCTACTAGCGGTGTATGAGGTCTCTTGGGCGCGGAGGGAGGATTCGGCCTTTCATTCCTCCTGGGAACTATTCCTCCCCGCTCCCCCCTTTTTTTATTCTTTTTTTTTATTTTTATTTTTCTTTTCTTTCTTTTTTTTTCTTAAAAACAAAAAGCCAAAGGAGTACCTAACCATGGCCAGCCATAGTCCATGAAAACCACCTACCCCGGGCCCCTTCTTGATTACCGGCACCCCATTATGCCCTGCTTGTGTTTTAGACCACTCTTTCGGACACTCCTGATAGCCCCTGTACCTCTGCTGGTGCTGTTTCCTCACCCGCTTCAGGTTACCGGGGCTTCGACTGACTCCTTCGATTTGTTGAAACTCCGCTCTCCCTTTGACTATTTGCTTCCGGCCTTCTCCCTCTACGGTTGCGGCAATTTTCGAATCGCCCACCATTTCATGCCGGACCAAACTCCGGTCCTACTCCATAAACGCATCGTCAATCTACTGATGATGCTTCCGTAGTTACCTTCCCATTCTTACTCGGAAAAAGACCGACACGTCAAGCACTCCCTCTCCAGCTCACGTTTTCGGACCACACAAGGGACTAAATACTTACTTTAAGACCAAACTTTCTTCTTCTGCCTACCTTTCTGACCATAGTATTGCCAAAGCGCTACTGCGTAATGTGGCAGAGATATTTCATTTCCGCTTATCACGGACGGTACGCGCATACGTCACTGTCCAGAAGAATAGCTACCCAAGCTCATGTATCCGTTCTCACCTTTCGAATATCGATACTACTCCTATCACTATTGAAAAACATCTTTCTCTCAATTTTTGTGTGGACTGTCCATTCTTGCTCCTTACACATAGTCCAACAGATTTCCAGTCATGTGGCCAATGACATTTTTGAAACAGCTGGAACTCCCCAGGATCTCCCAATCCTCAAAGTAGCACCACTTATGTTCATTCCTGCCGGGGCGGAGACGTTACCCTTGCAATGTGGCTCGTTTTAACTTTTGACAGCCGAAGAACTCACCGTCCTCTGTATATGTCGCGGGAACATCGGTTACAAGTTCGAAAGGTGAAACCTACACCGCAACAATGTAGAAATTGCTGGCGTTTTGGTACCCAGCGAAATATTGCAGATCATATGGCCGAATGCCCTGTCTGTCTCACATACGGTAGCCGAACACACGGACCATTCTAATAATTTGCAGTCAACCTCCATTTGCCTTAATTGTTATGTAGCTCACCTTGTTTTAACTCCCGCCGTTGCCTGCAGGTCTACTTAAATGGAACGTGAAATCCGTGTATATGCCTCAAAGAGGCAGAAGGTCTCACTCTATGCCTATG